TCCCTCTCACACAGTTCTTACCCCCAGGTCTGGACCTGTACTCCATACTCCTGGTTGACTCTAGGCTGTCGTTCTCTGCCCCATCGTGTAAAGGTCACACTGTCAGGCTGTTACTGCCATACCACCAAAACTGCTCTTGTTGAGGACACCAGTTAGCTCCATGTTGCTAAATCTGATAGCTACTCCTTCCCTCTTGAAACTTTCTTCCCTTGGCTCTTGGGATCCCAAATTTCTTCTCCTGGACCCACTCTTCCCCCGTCGTCCCCAGCTAGTGGCAACTCCATTCTTCTAGTTGCTCAGGCCAAAGTCCTTGGAATCCTTTCATAAACACACAACACACGAATCCTGTTGACTCTATATTCAAAATATATTTGAACCCCTCATTTTTTCTACCACTACCACTATGGTCCAAATCACCATCTTCCTCACTAAGATACAATAGCTACCAACTGTTCTCCCTGCTTCCAGCCAAGTACTCTTCCAAAATACAAGTCAGATCACATTAGTCCTGTGCTCCACATCCTCCAAGGGGTCCCTATCTCACTCAGAGTATAAGCCAGCGTCCTACACTGGCCTGTAAGTCCCTATGGGACTCAGCCCACTTCTCTGGGCTCATCTCCCACCCTCTCCTCTCATCCAGCCTCACCAGCCACACTGGCCTCCATGCTGTTCCTCCACACTCAAGGCTTCAAAAAGAAAACACAGAAAAAGAGCACTAAGTTATGACTGAAATAGAGAAATAAAAATATGTTATCAAACTAAGTACTCTTCAAAATCTTCATAATGGTCACAGTCTACATCTTCATCCTTTTCTAATTAAACTCGTGTTGTTTTTTTCTTCAAGCATTATTGAGATAAGTAAGAAACCATTTCTTACAGAAGTTACATTATTTATATTATTTTTTTAAGATAAGTCATGCACTAGAGCGGAAAGTGCAGTAAATTTTAGTCTCAACTCAGCTATAGGCACATCACAACCTCTTTCCAGGCCCAAGTTTCTTCCTCAATAAAATGAGTTTAAGCTAGTTCCAGCTCGTCCATTTTGTTTATTATTAGTACTTTCACATGTCATTTTCTATTTTTCATTGTGAATATATCAAAATAGAAGACAACAGTTTTAAATGCAATGCACCACATAAACATGACTTGTATTTCAGTTACATTCCTGGTGACGTGTGCCACCGTAGAACCCAACCATTGCTTATATCATGGTTGGCAAACCTTTTCTATAGAGTCAAATAATAAATATTTTAGGCTTTGTGAACTACAACTATATGGCCTCTGTTGCCAACTACTCACCTCTGCTGCTGTGGCACAAAAGAATGAGTGTAGCTATTTCAATAAAATTTTATTTATACAAACAAGAAGTGGGCCAATTTGGCCTCCAGGCCCGAGTGTACTGACCCCTGGCTTACAATGTTACTCATTTAACTGAAGTCAAACATTTTTGAGTACCACCTATGTCAAAGACAGGTGAAACATAGCTGGTCTTGGCCATTAAACAACTTCCTATGGGGGAGCGGGGGGTGGGGGTGGGGAGGCGTGACCAAGTAAGGGTCTGAGAAGAGACCCAACGAGGATCATCATCAAGGAGAATACAAGTCAGACTGTGACAACACGATGGCAATCCCTAGACCAAGTTCAGATTGAAGAAATGAAGGAAATACTTAATTCTGATGGGAATTAGGGGAAGATTAGGCAAGGAAACCAGAGAAATGAGTGGTCTCAGACTACAGAGCTTTTTAAGTCACACGGAAGTATCAGGATTTTATTTTTTAGGAAGAGAAAAGTCACAAGAGTTTTAAAAACAAAGATGTGATGATATGTCTATCTGCAAAAGAGGAAAACATTGAGACATGCGAGATCAACTAGAAAGCCTGGCAGGTTAAGTTAGGTGGTTATAACAACAGTCCAATACAGAAATAATGAGGGTCTTGTCTAGCGCAGAGGTAATGCGGCTGGAAAAGAGAGAAGGAAAATTGAATCAATTTCATTATAATGCCTACTGTATTTTGGAACATAGTCTGTGAGCTGGGATCTTCCTCTATTTAGTGAAGTCACATGAGGGTCCTGAGAAGTCCCAGAAAAGCTATCTCTAATGGTACTCTCAGGAGAGATGGAGGCTGAGCTAAGCCTGAAGAGCTCCCAGGGAAGAGAGATGGAGTTTTACTCCAGGGGGCAACATGAACACTAGCCACCACACTAGCCATCACTAATGCAGGGTACTTAGCTCTTCAATCTGGAAACTGTATCAAAATCAAGAGAGCTAAGGCTTATTGCCAGATACTATTCTAAGTCTTTTACATGAATTAACCCATTATCTCTTCAAACAAAATCATCCTATGAAGTTGATTCTGTAATTATAAGGAAAGTAGGTTAGTTAATTTACTGGATGTTACCTAGATTCAAACGCAAGCAGTCAGACTCAAGGATTCGAATGCAAGCAGTCTGACTCCAGGTCTGTGCTATCAGGGGCTATAATGACAATGGCATGGTGACTTCAGCCATTTGAGGTTTTATTTTAAATCTCTATTTCTATATCCACCTTATATGACCTTACATCTACAAAGCATTTATAGATTAATAATATACTTTCACACACATGCTCTCTTTTGAATCTCACGACCAAGCTGTGACTTAAGTATGATAAGTATTGATTTCCTTTTTTTTCACACAGCTAGGAGGTGGGAATGTGAACCTGGCACTCAGACTCTGGGTGGCAGTGCTCTCATGCCCCAGGCCGCCTCCCACCACGAATCCCACCATTTTCTTTTTAGATGCTCCATATGGAAAGGGTCAGGAGAGGATAACAACAGTGGATTTACTAACATAATGTTAGTCACTACACTAGAATTAAGCTAAACTAAAATGATGCTTATTGAAAATAGCACTGAGTACCTGCTGTGGAATCATAGAAGTCCTGCAATCTCCCAGGTTTGTTCTCAAGGTCTTCATATTCAGATGCCTGAAGAATCATCTCACATTGGTCCAGCTGCTTCACAAATTTGGCTTCTGCACTAGATTGGGTCTCATACTCCTAAGTAAAGAGACAATTAGAATGGCATGATTAGGGCTACATGACAGGGTAACGCAGGGAAATTCTGATACTGGTACCTGAAATCAGACTCACAGCTAAAAGCACATTTTATACTGGCCATATTTCTCCACGGTATACAAACCCTTCACAGAGACGCCTCACCTGTAATTTCACAGCTAACATCAGCATTCCACGCAAGAAGCATGTGCTCACAATTCCACGTGTCCCACCAGGTGCCTCGTTAGACTCCCTGGTTCATATTGACACTTCCAAGCATTTTTCTTCCTGTTTAGTATCTTGTCTTTGCTTCAAGATCTTTATCCTTTAATCCACCTACGTAGTGTAGGTCTATTTAACTCCAAGCTAATATTTCATCTCATGCTTCTAAAATTATTTCCTTTTCCATTTAATGTCAAGTTTCCTTTTCCTTTATAAATGAATTTCCAGCTTTCTCATTTGTTTGTTACCACTTTACACTCGGAATCTCTATCCTTACTGTCCCAATGGGGAAGATTTAATCAAGTCTCTCGGGGTTAAGACTCTTGAGGATATAGTTAGGACCTATGAATTCTTCACTCAATGTTGTATGTTAGTGGCAGGGAGGTGGTGAAGGTAGCGGACAGAGCAGCTTTTTTACCTTTCCTCTTCCCATTGGTCCCTCCCTCCTCAGTGAAGACGTGAAACAAGAAGCTACAGGAGGTCTGCTTCTTAGAGCATGACACGTGTCAATCACAAATCTCAATACTATATAGAATCATTCTTTTATTAAGACCACAGTGTTCCCAATGGTTTCCCTGCAAAGTTCTCATTTGTAATTCCACTTCAGATGTATTTGGATAATGAACCTGTCATGCTTTCTTGGCAGGATAATGTAATGTGAATCACCGAAGGTTTCTTGGTTTTTATTAAATGCCTTATTCTTATAAAGGCAGCTATTTGGATTTTGATAGAGCTTAAAATTGGACAGGGAAATCATTTTTAATATGAAACCAAATACATTTAGTTTTATTTCAAAGGCACTTAGAAGTAATTACATTTAACTGAATTGTTTATGTACATTTATAATTATATATTCATATTTAATAAGTTTAAGTTCATTATTTAACAAAAAGAGATGGAATACTCTAAGCATAGCAAACTAGGATTTTTCTTCACTGTTGAAAGTGAGAAAAAGAGATTATGAGACCATTAAGAAATAACAACATCTTATAACAAATTCTGGTGAAATTACACTTTTAAAAAAAAATTATTGTTTTCTTTCTCTCAAAAAATAATGGTACTGGCATTTCTCAATTTCACTTTCCAACAAGGAGTCAGGGCAAGGAAAAGAGTACTGCGGACAAAGCTCTGGAAGTAAGAAGGAGCCACAGCATCTTTGGGGAAATCTCTGCAAGTAGTTCCTAATGGCAGGATAGAGTATTGAAGGGAGGAAAGGGGGAGAGAGGAGGTTGAAGGTAGAGAAAGAGCCAGCTCCTGAAAGGCCTTGTGGTTTGTTACGGGGTCCCAGCTTATCCTGCAGCTATTGGACATCGCTGACAGGTTTCAAGCAAGAAGTGTCATGATCAGATTTGCATTTCAGAAACTTCATTCTAGCTGCAGGTTGGAAACAGGAAAATCAGGTTGAGACTCTGTAGGACTAGCAGAGAAGGTATGAGAATATGGTGTGACCTATTAGTGTGGCAATGAAAATGGGGAAAAGTGGGCAGATTTGAGAAATGTTAAGGATGAAGAAGCAAACCAACATGTGAACATAAATGAAAGGGAGAGTCGAAAATGACTCCCTTGTTTCTGGCTTGGGTAATTAAATAAGGAGCAAAACAGAAGAAACAGATGAAAAAAACTGACAGGAAAAAAAAAACAGCAAAACCAAAACCCACATGGATAACATTTATAACAAAACTAAGGGACATAACATTGCCATGAATTGCAAAATATACATGAGTGGGGACAAATCACCTCCAGCCATAAGCCCTACATGCAGTCAGCATCTGTCAGAGAGGAAGCAGTGGGGGAGCAACAGGGCATCTGATGGACCAAAGAATAGGAGAATCTCCAAACAGCCAACAGTTGTTCATAGGATTACCAAATTTTAAGAAGAGAGGACAACAGTGGAGGAATCTTGCCCACTCCAACAGTAGCAGATATAAGCCCAGCCCTGGTGAATTCGCCAGTCTGGTCTGTTGGGGCTCCCTTCCAGGACCGGGCCCCCCACATGAAGAGAAAGTGCTAGTAGTGGAATCAAAATTGAGTGGGATAAAGATAATAGAAATGAAGAAAAGAAAAAGTTCACAGTAAAGTGGGGAAGGGGAACAAAGCCAGAAAATCTCTGAAAGCAAGCCACCGTATTTTTAACACTACAAACCAAACCAAAACAAAAAGCAGAAAAGGAAGCTCTGTGAAGTTGAAAAAGTTATCTGAACCAAGTGTCCTTCCAAAAGTTCAGGAAAACTAATTGCATATCAAATGAGTAACAGAAAAAGCACAAAGATCAGATTCCATAAAAACTTACCATAAGATAGAGAGTAAGGAGCAAAATAACATTTTTACAGACAATTCACATCAGAAAGATGTTCTGGCCAGAACACAGTGAACATAAATGTTAGGCTGGAGCATCCTGCTGCTATCAAAGAAACTATCAACGTCAGCATTTTCACACCTTTCCCATATGAACTGTAAGCAGAGAGCAGATGAGAAAGAAGCATCTGCTAATAAAATTACTTCGGCTACAAAATGAAAACAAAATACAAACATTACCATTCTGCAACCCCAAAGGACTAAGGGACATAAGAATCAAGGAAACCCAGACATTATGCACTTGATGAGAAAGAATCCAATACCACCTATGGTCTGCCATCCAACCTGAACGATCCAGCCTCTGGAGGCAGCTGCCAATCTACAGAAAATAAAAGGACAGAGAAATACAAACTGCATCGTGAGTATGCAATTGGCAAAACCCAGACTATGGGAAACTCTATAGCCAAATGGTCTGGATTCTTCAACAGGTAACTTGTAAGAAAATGAAAGGGATGGGGAGAGGGGCTGTACATGAAAGGGTACTTAAAAGACATATTAAGGTTTATGAAAAGGGGCAAGATTAGACTAAAATATCTAGGGATGAAGACTTGGGTGGTAAAACCATAAAGAAATTCAGGTGACTGCTATGAAAATGAGGGTAGTGGTTACTTTCTGGAGAAGAGAGGGGCTACGTTGGGTCAAGGCATAGGACAGGGCTTCTGGGCAGAATGGCAAAGTTACAAATCTTGTCATGAACGGCAGTTACAAGGGAGTCATCCTTCTAATAACTCACTGTGCTATACATTGTTTTGTTTTGTTTTTTTCAATAAAAGGATTGAAAATAATAAAAATGGCCACATCGTTAACAAATGTCACCATAAAAATAAATAAAGAAATAAAATGGCCACAGGCCTGAAACTGTTGAGGTTCCTGTAGATATTTAGGTGGAGCTGTCCATTAGGCTGTTGCATTCATGAGTCTGTAGTCTAGGAGGATTCAAAGGGATATTTCTTTAAAGCAAAATGCAGGTGATGGGGCAGGCTTCTTTCTATGATACTTTGAGAAAAAAATGAAACTGTTTTCTCTCGCTTTGCTGAAATTTGATTTCACACTTCTGTGGTGAAAGGTACATTATAATCAACGATGTTTAATTGCTTTACAGAGATGTTACCCTCTGGGCTGATAGCATTGTATAGTGGTAAAAAGCTGTGAATAACATTTCAGAACTCAATCAACTGGCATCTTCTATCAGTACTATTCTAAGTTTCTTGGGTAAAGAATGATCGTATTTTCTTAAACCAAAATCATAATATATGGACTGGAGACAGAAGAAAAATAGAGCTTACTATGTATCATGCAATATTTTAAGTGCTTTACATATATTAATTAATTTGATTGCCATTCAACCCTATAAGACAGGTATACTATTATTATTGCCATTTTAGAGATGAGAAAATTAAGGCACAGAGAGGTTCAGGAAGTGACCCAAAATCACATAGCTAGTAAGTAAACAGAGGAACCAGTATTTGAACCTGGAAATCTGATACTGAAGCCCATATCCTAACACTGAACATGAATTACAAAAATGCTTAAGTTAATATGAGAGTTTGTGTACCAGGTGGAATAGTATTCCTCAAAAATTCATGTCCACCTGAACCTATGAATGTGACTCTATTTGGAAATAGAGTCTTTGCAGATACAATCAAATTAAGATAAATTCATGCTGGATGAGGACGGACCTTAATCTGATGACTGGTGTCCTTATAAAAAGAGGGAAGTTTGGGTACGGATACAGACACAGGGAGAGTGCCATCTGACTATGGAAGCAGAGACTGGTGCGGGGCAAGGAATAGCAAGGAATGGCAAAGCTAAAAGAGGCATTTTCCTAACCAGAAGCTAGGGAGAAGCAAGAAAAGGATCCTCCCCTAGAGCCTTTGAGAACATGGCCCTGTTGACACCTTGATTTCGGACTTCGGGCCTCTGGAACTGTGAGGCCATAAGTATCTGTTGTTTTGAGCCATCTAAGTTTGTGGTGATTTGGCACAGCAGCCCTAGGAAACAAAGAGAGTTTCTTACTACTAATAATAAGTAGCTGGCATGGTATCATGAATATCATAGAACTATAAATGCTTGTTCAATTAATCTACATACAGCACAAGGACATAAAGAAAATGCTGACCTGGGAGGTGGGCTTGTGGCCTAGCTTTGATACCCACTAGCCAAGAGACCTGTGGCAAGGTAAGGCCCTTTGGCCCTTAGTCTTCTTACCCAGAAAATAAGGGCACTGAAAATGGGTTTTCTTTCAGTTTTACGTAACAAAATTCTAACATATAGTAAAGAGCCAAAGAGACAAAACATAATTTAAAAAATAGGTAAGACTGTAAGAAAATAGCCACTGTATAGTACCA